AATTGGGTCAAATTGTCTGTGATACAGATAATTTTTTATTTTTGTCTGTGTGGAAATCGATTTTCTTCATAAAATGACTGACGTGTACAAACTGTTGTGTACAAAGAGCATTTTTCATATTTCATAGACCTACAATTATAATGATGAATAGATATGATTACCAGTTGCATCTTCGTGGTAAAATATTAAGGTGAGTCAAAATATTAGGGCGAGTCTTTATAACTTTTATGATTATTTTTCAAATTTATTGTTACAAAGATTGTTGTTTACGAACATACAATTAATTTCGAGGAAGCGGTCCAACCCAGCTGGTCGCCGACTCACTCTCCCTACAGGAGGTCTCGGGTTCGAAACTCAATGGAGTGAGTTTCAGCCCTGATTACTCCAGGCCCCAGTCCCCTCCCCCAGACTCCCCCAGCAGTAAAAAAACATACAATTAATTTCTGGTTCAACCAAATTCAATTATATGATTGTTGAATTGAATTTAATATAATTGTATTTGGATCTAGTAACCATTAAATTTACTTATTTCTACTTCGTAATACTCCCTCCGTCCCCTTTTAAATGTCCCGTTTTATCATATTGGGATGTCCCTATTTAATTGTTTCATACCTTATTTGGTAAAGTTTGTGTGGCTCAAAATCATTCTTATTTTATTCTTACTTTATCAATTAATATCAATCACACAAACCCACTTTTCTTAAAACTCATGACACCCTCTTCCGAGACATTTAAAAGGGGACAGAGGGAGTAGATAGACATAGTACAACTAATGGAATGCATTCATTTTTTTTACTTTAATTTATAGCTCATTATTGATAAATTATTGTCATTGTATTTTATAAAATGTTTGTAGCCGGATTGATCTCCCTTAGATATGATTATAGCAAATAAGAAAATACTCAAAGCCAATCCTAAGTGCACTCCAATAGTATACGAAACTCTGTAGCCCTCCCTAGACCATTACGGACACTTGTTGTATAATCCGCTTACATATCCATGATGATGCTAATATGCTTTTCTAGTCAAGGCCAACCAAATGATTTCTCGACGTACCCTATCATATATTTTTTCTAAGCTAATGAATACCAAATGCAGTTTTTTTATTAGTGTTTTTATACTTCCCCACAAGTTGGCTAAGAAGGTGAATGACCTCAGTTGTTGACCGACCAGACATAAAATCGAATTGATTCTCTGAAATCTTCACACTTCTTTGGAGCTTTTGCTCAATCACTCGCTCCCAAAGCTTTATGGTGTGACTCATAAGCCTAATCCCTCGATAGTTGGCACACTCTTATGCATCACCCTTATTCTTAAATAGAAGAATAAGAGTACTCTTACACCAACTCGTTGATATTTTGTTGGTTTTCCAAATCTTGTCGAAGAAACATGTTAACCACTCGATGTCTTTCTCTCCCAAACTTCTCTAGGCCTCGATCAGTATGCCATCTAGACCTACTACTTTCTTCCGCCCCATCTTTCTCACAGTCTCTTTAACTTCTGTCGTTTGGATCTCCTTACAAAATCCCGGTTTTTCATACATACAATTTGATATAGTCAGAACACCAATATCTTGCGTTTTTTCCCATTGAAAAGGTATCCAAGTATGACCTCCACCTCTCTTTTATTTCCACATCCTCCATTAGTATACTTTGATCGACATCATTCACATACTTAACTTTTCCAATATCTTGAGCGCTATGATCACAAAGACGGGCAAGTGTCAGACTGTCATCACGGAAGTGTCACTATAAAAGCTTTAGTATGGTATCTCTGAATATTGGGCAGAGGGGATTTTTATTATAAAAATTTTAATGTTATTATTAATGAGTTATGAAATTATAAAAGACTAACATTGCCAAAGAAGCTAAGAAAATCCTAGGGTTTGGTAACCTGGTAAGTATGTGTTGTATATTCAGGGGCATAAGGAGTGGATAAATGAAGTCAACTTTTTGGGCATAGTTAAGCACCCAAATCTAGTGAAGTTAATTGGATATTGTGCAGAAGATGATGAGAGAGGGATCCAACGGCTTTTAGTGTACGAGCTGATGCATAACAAAAGCCTTGAGGACCATCTGTTTTCTAGATCACCCAATGTCCTCTCCTGGAATTTGAGATTGAGAATTGCTCAAGACGCTGCTCGTGGATTGGCATATCTTCACGAAGAAATGGACTTTCAGGTGATCCAAAACCCTCCCATAGAAACGTTTTTTTCTATCAAATGAACCATAGAGATACATCCTCTACCATATGAATGTTTTTCACTTGGCTGAAACTTTCTGATCCGTATTACATCTATTTTACTAAAATGTTCAGTGTTGTTTGGTACTAAAAGGAAGCAATATATTGACACAAAAAATTGCTTTTTTTGTTATAGTTAATATTCCGAGACTTCAAATCATCCAACATTCTTCTAGATGAAGATTTTAATGCAAAACTCTCGGACTTTGGGTTGGCTAGGCTGGGACCAGCTCATGGAATTGATCATATATCTACAGCAGTAATTTCCTTTCTCCACCCTCTTTCCCATCTTGTCTTCCTTCGATTTCTTTTTTTTTTTAATCCTTCGATTTCTTGTTAGACCTTTTTGTTTATAGCATGGGTAATATTAAATCAATTCCAAGAACGATTTACCTGATCCAAGTTGACCCTTAACACGTAGGGACAATTTTGAAAGGCAATAAATGAGTCAATGGGATCTTTACCAAATAAACAACAAATTTCAATCAGGCTAGACTTTCAGATCATATTAATTGGGCCTATATCATTCATTCTAACGTGATTCATAAGAAGAAATATTTACCTCATACTGGTATATCATAGTCTTATAAAATTCTAATATGTGACGGGATGATAACTGGGTGGATATTTGAGAGTTTGCCATTTAATCAAAACCTAATGGGACGGAATGACATATGTTTCCATCCAATTGGTAGTAATCATATTTGAAAAAAAAAAGAAAACATACTCGTAACTTGTTTGGGTAGTACTGTAATATAAGAATCCGAATATGAAAGTACTACCATTGGTCCCTGCGTCAAACCAAGGGTTTGATACAAATATTTAAGAAAGCTAGAATTTAGATTATTGAAACTGAATTTATAAAAGCTACCAAATTTAACGAGACAAATATTTTGGTAGTTGGAACAGTCTAAACTGAAAAAATGTGACAAATAAAATGGACCCGGGGTGTAACAATGTATATTGTCCTATATAAAATACTCTTTCCGTCCTAGCTTTTATGTGCACAGGTTTTGAAATTTTGACTAATGTTCTTAAGTACATATTTTGATGAATTTATAGATTGTGTACTATAGGTTATGGGAACTCTTGGTTATGCAGCACCCGAGTATGTTCAGTCTGGCAGGTTGACAGCTAAAAGCGACGTTTGGAGCTTCGGGGTGGTTCTCTATGAACTTATCACGGGGAGGCGAGTGCTGGAGCGGAATCTGCCTCGGGGTGAGCAGAAACTCTTGGAATGGGTGAGGCCCTACGTCTCAGACCCCAAGAAATTTCACGTCATTCTTGATCCGAGATTAGAGAGACAGGATTGTGCCAAGTCAGCACACAGACTTTCCTCACTGGCCAACAAATGCCTCATGAAGCAACCCAAGTGTCGCCCTAAAATGAGCGAGGTGGTTGAACGACTCACTGGCATCATTGGAGATGAAGTTGTGACCAAAACAAGTGTGAAAAGAGGGGGGAAGGAAGAGGGGTTTGAAGAAGGTGGATGCGACGAGGCCCGGGAAAACATTGACCAAAAGAAGAGTTTTGATTTCAGGGAAATGATCAATTTAAGGACCAAATCAATTGGGAAGCAGCTGGATTGGAGGAATTGGACGCCTGGTTTGGCTAGAGCCCGGTGATATTCATCCCTTTGTTGTTCTTTTTCATTGTCATTTCAACTTCCCTTTTTTTTAGAGGAGATGAATTGCCCTTGTTGATGACCAGAGTCAGATTGTACAGTTTTCTGATGATAACTTTATTCTGAAGATTGGGAGGTTGCTGGTGGCAATTCTCATGCCTGATTGGGGCCTTTGTGGACATTGTGATTTGTGACAGAAATATTGTCAACTATTGTATCAAATAGGCCATACTTGGTAAAGAAACTTGACATGGTTTAAGGGTCAAAGGGGGTTTAATACTTCATATTCATTTTTGTTTCGAGAGTCATTTTTCAACATGGGTGTCATTTTTCTAATATTACGACACATGTGAATAGTGCTGGACTCAGGCCGGGCGGCCCGACCCGGAACCGGCCCGGCCCGGTCACTGTTTGAACCAGACCGAACCGGCGGCCCAGGGGCAGTTCGGGTCAACCTGGCCCGGTGGGGTTCGGTTCCGGGCTCGGGCCCTCCATTTGGTGAACCGGCCCGGCCGGTTCGGGCCCAGTCCAGGCCGATTTTTTTTTTTTTTTGATTTTTTTTTTTAAGTTTTTGGGTTGGGCTGGGTATTTTGGGCCATTTGAGGTGGTTTGGGGGTGAGGGGGTGGGTTAAATAGGAGAAGCCAAAAAAAAAAAAACCGGGTGGCCTGGCCCGGCCCAGCCCGGAACTGAATCGGTGGCTACCGGTTCGGGCTCGGGCCCAACAAAACAGAACCGCGAACCGGCCGGGCCCGAACCGGCCCGAGTCCACCCCTACATGTGAAGTCCATATCAATTCCCAAAATAGTTTACGAAGCAAGTTTGAGCGTTTGACTAATGACTGTCCGGCCTGTCCCTCAATAATATTCAAATTCAAATTAATATGAATATTTAAAGTTTAGTCCCTTCAGGGACATCCGATAAAATTGGAATGAATATTTAAAGTTTATGTGCCTATATTGACAAACTGTGCATGGCAAAAATTTAGTCGAATATGATTAAAAAATGTTAAACATAAAAAGAAAGACAACCAAAAAAGGTATTTTTACTTGAAACTTGAAAGTGAGACAAATGAGATAGATCTTTTTGTTTTGCATGAAAATATGAACTCAGAGATGATAGAACTGTCCATTCCTTGCGGACTAAGCAAAAAAGGAATCTTTACTTGCGGACTAACCAAGATTAGAATAATTACTCTCGTCAACCAAACGAGCCATAAAAACTGCACTGTTTTAACAATGCACTCACACAGTTACACGAGCCATCAGTCATTATAACAGGAAGCAGTAATAACTAAAGCAAACATAGAAGGAATATGAACAAGAGTTGGATACCCTAGAGCCCTGCATTACACCCCAGATAACATGCATGTGGGCAACCCGTCCTGCCCATACGTTGGGAGATGGACGGCATCTATATATACTCAACAAAAAATAACTATACAGTTAAGCTGATGATCACATACTGTCAAAAGTGAACCGTGTGGAGTTGCTACATGAACGGTCAAGATCACTTGGAGATGTCCCAAGCTATTTGGCATAGAGAGGAGAAGCCGACGGTCTTGGATAAGCAACCGAAGCATTAGTATCCCTCCCTCTACGGGGCCCAGAGGCTTTGCCCGCATTGGCACGTGAGTTTCCCCCTTTATCCTTTGATTCCACCTTAAGCTGTTCAAGTTCTTTGACCACCTCATCTATGGATGGTCTATACCTTGGTTCAGTTGAAAGACACCTTGATGCAAGATTGGCTACTCTTTGTGCAACCTCCACTTTATACTGGCCTTCTAGACGGTTGTCCATAATTCGGAACAATCTGCGTTTGTTGCCTAAGTATGGTTTGGACCATTCAACCAAGTTGTGTTCTCCAGATGGCCTGTTCTTGTCAATTGCTCTACGGCCCGACAACAGTTCAAGCAGGACTACTCCAAAACTATAGATGTCGCTCTTGGAAGACAAGTGACCTGCACCCAATTATTCCATAAAGGTAAACACATCATATTTCGCCTATAGCAGGTGGAAAATTGGGGCATATATAGCACCACCTAGCTATGTAGCATGAGTATGTGAATGCCTGTTTATTAGGTAACAAATACTTCCGGAAAGGTTTAAGAAAATTCTTGTATGCCCTAAAACTTAAAGTACAGATATTCGAGAGTATCGAATACATAGATATGCCACCTCATCAAGTATCCATGCAACATAGGCGCACCTACACTAGGCCTAAGTGAGGTCAGACGAAGCATAGGTATGAATATGTGGGCCTATAATAAATGAATAAGCTATACCTGTGGCTAAGTATTCTGGAGCAGCATATCCATAGGTTCCCATGACCCTTGTAGAGACATGGCTTTTATCACCCGTTGGTCCATCTTTAGCCAAACCAAAGTCAGAGAGCTTGGCATTGTAACTCTACAGTAAGAAAGAAAAAAAGTTGGGCATGTGTCGACTATAAATGAATGCAATTTTATGGGAACTGGAGTAAAGAACTCATACTGAATCTAGCAGAATATTGGATGCCTTAAAATCACGATATATAACTTGAGATTCAGCAGAGTGTAGAAAAGCAAGCCCTTTGGCAGCTCCAAGAGCAACTTTCAAACGTAGATACCAAGAGAGTGGTTGGAAATATGACCCCCCTGATATTTAAACAAACAAAGGTTTCTGTGTTAAACAAGGCAATACATATACGACATCTAAAGGTCTGATTGGATTGAGAGTTTTTATTGGAGGGGAAAGCTGTGAATGACATGGTCAATATCTTGATACTTGAAAAACAGAATGTTTCTAAAAAGTAAAAAGGGATGATTGAAATGTTATATGATCACGTACTATGTTATTCTTTCAGATTCTTTGAAGCAGAAACTTAAATAAACACACCATAGATATACAGACTTAGCCCTCCAACACCCTCAATCCAAAATGACCCTAAACAGAGAAAAAGTTATGTTCAAGGGAAATGACAACTCACTCCTGAACAAATGGTTCTCCAAACTACCACGAGGCATAAACTCATACACTAAGAGGCGATGCTCATCTTCCAAACAATATCCATACAACTTCACAAGATGTGGATGAGAAAACTGCCCCAAATAGTTCACTTCAGCCTGTAGTACAACAAAGTATGACATTTCACACACGTTTTATTTTCTATACAAATGCACTTCTAAAATGTTCAATTGCACATTTTGACATTTTGTATACATTGTTGCACTTACAGTAGCTTATGTTAGTTAAAAGTTCCTTTAAATTACATAAACGCCACCACATTTTAAACTTAAAAATTGATCTCATCCATCTACTTTTTCACAAGAATGATCAAGATTACTTTTTCTTTTTCATCTAAGAAATATTTTTTATCCAAACTAAACTGTATGTATGCACAGACACACACATACTATATATGATAGTATATATTATTTGGTTTTGTCCCATTTAACTTTTTGTCTGTCCCACCAAGTCTGCGTCATACCATATTTGGTAATATTTGTGTGTTTTTAATTGATTCCTACTTTATTCATACTTTACAAATTTAATACTACGTACTAACCATTGACATCCATTTTTCTTAAAAATTGTGCCACTTTCTCATTTCTAGGTGTCTCACAATATTAGTGGGACCACTGGGACGGAGGTAGTATTTCTGAAGTGAAAAAAAAATGAGAATTAATCTTGATCACTGGTGTGGAATAATAGATGGCCGAAATCAATCTAAGTTTAAAACAAGGTGTATTATTGGAAATATGAATCAATGTATACAAAATGTGATGAAATTTTTAAACACACGTGTGAGCTATTTTATGATGGAAGAAAGCAAAATGGCTCACTAAACTGTCTACGATTCTTTGTTATGAAGCAGCAGTCAGTCTATGCAATTTTTTATGTGATTTTCAATATGGGTCATCCGGAAACAGCCTCTCTGTACTTTAGTACATTGTAAGGATGTGTACATCCGACCCCCCCCCCCCTACCTCACCGTAGGTGGGAGCCTTTGCGGCACTGGGGTAATGATGATGATGATGTGTGAACTATTTTATGTTTGTTACTATGTCTTGAATCTGATCACAAACTATTTGCGGAAGTACGAGGGACTCGTTGCACGATCAGTGAGAGTCAAGGGTCTAGAGGCAACGCGCCCTGGCCTGGGGTCCGGGGGCAGAGACGCCCTGGCCTGACAGTATGCAGTAATAACTATTAATTTGGGCCAATTTTGCTGAAGGTTTACTTGGAGTACTTTATACACATTGTGTGTGAAGCTTTGTATGTATTATGTAATCTGAAAACCTAGCTTCCTAATAAATTTGGATCTCCTTCTGCTTGTGGATGTAGATAACACAATGTTATTGAACCACTTTAAATCTGTTTGTCTTCTCTTATGTTTATTTTTCATATTCTTTGATTCATAATAATGCACCATAACAATATGTACACGATTAAACGATGCATTTTGTATCATAAAGTGTAGCACATTAATGTTTCAAATATTTACAATTCACCATGTTTTTAGTGAAAATTGATGTAACCCTTCCGTTTTTAAACAATTAAAGGCTTAGATTCATTCACATCTTTAATGGGAAGACTTATTTTTATTCGAACTCAACCCGATATATATTGCCAATCACGTGAGAATATGTTTAAAAACATACCAGCCATTCCTTGTGCCCCTGAAAACCTTCTTGGTTTAACCTTTTCACGGCAATCACTATGCCACTACCAGGCTTAGTTGCTGTTAAAGTGTCTTCATCAATCCAGCCTTTATAAACCGAGCCAAACCCACCTTCTCCGAGTACACTATCTGGACGAAAGTTCTTGGTGGCCATTTTGAGTTCAGAGAAAGTAAAGCTCTTCAGATTGGGTGACTGTAAGATCTCTCCCTCACTCCTAGGAGTTGGCTGTACAGAATTCATGCTGCTTGAGTTTCTCGAATTACTCCCTTGAGTGCTACCATATTTTGAACTCAGACCTTATGAAATAAATGACATTTTCAGACAAAAGTAGAAGGAAAAAACTCCAGCAGGATCTAAATGTAATTATGTCGAACAGCATATGAGAAAATAAGTTAGGCATCTATAAATGCATGAATGTTGATAAAAGAAGGTTTAATGCATCGAATCACCCTTCTATATACAAATTATGCAGTATAGTATAATCTCGGAAGGTTCTTTTTGCAGTAATAACTGCTATAAAGTATAAAGATATACTCTCCCTGTCCCAAAACATAGTTCTTGGTCGAGTTTGACACGCTATTAATAAAGTAGTTGAAAAGGAAAAGATGAGGTTGAAATATAAGTATAAATGAGTGAAATAATAAGAAACGTATCTTTCTTTCCTTGAGTACCAGGAAGATTAATTTAAGGATCAGAAAACAAAACAGGAAGTTTATTTCGGGATAAGGGAGTACTTAACAAAGCAAAGATATAAGGGAACAAATGTAATTACAAATAAATAAATAAATAAATAAATAAATAAATAAATAAATAAATAAATAAATAAATAAATAAATAAATAAATAAATAAATAAATAAATAAATAAATAAATAAATAAATAAATAAATAAATAAATAAATAAATAAATAAATAAATAAATAAATAAATAAATAAATAAATAAATAAATAAATAAATAAATAAATAAATAAATAAATAAATAAATAAATAAATAAATAAATAAATAAATAAATAAATAAATAAATAAATAAATAAATAAATAAATAAATATTGTGTATCAAATGCAGATCTCTAAGTCAAATGTGCCATCATACCCGTCTCCAATCCTGGGAAAAAAGAGTGAAAAGGGGAAGAGGATTCCCAATTTAATTGTAGCTCAAACATGAAATATACAGCAGATACTATAGAGTATTCTTAAATTGGTGAAACAGCTTTAGTTAAATAGAAAGATAATGCGCTGTAAAACTGAAGTAAGAAACTTTGAAAAAGAGAGAAAGGACTTAAATGTAGTCACCTGAGTTAGGGGGGCTTTCAGCTTTGATTCTGGAACTCAAGCAAATCCCCATCAGAACAGACCAACTTTTTACTGCTTATCTTCTTCACCAGCTCTACCTTTTCTCTGTAAACCATTCCAAAGAAGTATGAGATCTATACAGTAAAACAGGCAGAAAAAATAAAAAGGAAGCTTTTTTCCAAAATGGTTTTATTTTTCTTTGATTACCCAAGAATACTAAGACAGTCTGCTGATACCACAAGAGCAACACGCTGTAGAAAGCAAAGAGAAGAAAAACACATCAAAATTGAATTGAGAAACACACACCTCTTTTCAAGTTTTCTGGAGAAAAAAAAATGCAGCTCTTTCCTGATTAGAATCTGATCAATCTCTTATTAGAGAGAGAAGAGGAGGGGGGCCTGTGTGCTATGAAGAGGTTTGGCGGAAGCAGATGGAAAGTAAAGAAAGACAAAGCGCTTTTGTTTGACGTATGGACTAATCTTTTGTGCTTAGCAGGCAACTATTCACATCTAATAATGGGGCAGGAGACAAAGAGGGGAGAAAAGTCTTTAATGGCGGGATGGCCCCACATTGCCCCTAGTCCTACTATTGTTTGCTACTTCCTCCGTAACATAAAGATCTTCCCATTTTGACTTTTCACGGTCTTCTAAGTTGAACTTTGACTGCAAATATCTACATATCTATATTTATAAAATTCATAATAAATTAACATTCAAATAATATGTTTTACAATGAGTTATATAAAATAAATTTTTAATCATAACATAATGTGAGTTTTGAATAAATAATGGTCAAAGTTCATAAAGTTTGACCCAAAAAAGTCAAACCGGGAAGATTCTAGCGTTACGGAGGTAGTATATCCGACTGATAACTTTCATCAAGTTTTTTACTAAATAAAATGAGTTAATTGCTTAGATTTTATATCAGCCTAGTCTAATGAATTCAACTATTCAACCAGAGGAATCGCATAGAATCAGGCTGTTTTTTTCTGTCGCGGACATGTTTAGGTTGTAGTTTTTTTGGTAAATGTTTTTGTTGTAATTTAGTAATTACTTTAAGTTAAATAGAACTAAAAGCTAATAATAGTGCACTTAAAATCATTAAATGTGCGTAATCTTCTTAATTCTCCCGCTCAGGACTTTTCTTATGCAGGTGCTATCATCTCCCATTGCGGGTATTTAGTACTCCCTTCATCCCATAAAACTTGGTCAATGTTGACTTTCACGTAGAATAATAGATTAAAACTGTGTGATAGAGATTTGTACATAGGACAGAGAAATATTTTTAGCCACATATTTATTGTTGGAATAATTGTGAGTATTTCAAATGAATAAAATGTTACCTCTTTTAATTATTTTTCAACACACTAATTTATCAAAAATTATTTTACATAATAAAATTATAACCATATAATGAAAATAAACTTTACAAACTATTGATCATTACTAAACTTGCATTAATGAATTTCTCTTTTGAGCTTCTTCTTAAAACCGTTGGTAGCTTTAATTCTTATTAAAGTACTAGTTTAATCACGCGCGTTGCGCGTTCGTGGTAATGCCCAACACCATTGTAGGGACAACAATATATTGGCAAAGGTTTAGTGAAAATATGAGTAATATAAATATGAATAGAACAATTGAATATATAGTTTATTATTTATCGATAAAGAATCATAAATAATAAAGCATTTATAGGCTAGAATATATGTGGGCAGATAAAATAGTCATGATGGCTGTAAGAACCATAAAATGATTAAGGTTCACATGAAATAATAAACACAAAAATGTTTTGCTCGGACAAGTATGCAATATTTATTGGGTTGTGGCACGCAAAGAAAATTAAAGTAATTGTTCCAGAAAAATAGTTGGAGTAATTGAAGTAGTGGGAAACAGTGACAAATAATTAAGCTTTTCTCCTTCGCTTGAGATCAACAGGTGAGTCCTCTTCACCCGAGCGTGGGAGCTTTGCCTTTGATGAAGGTGGGGTTGATGGATTGGTGGCTGTTGTAACAATATAATGTGATGCATCGTGCAAGGATGTTATAGTATATGAGGGCGCTTGTTTGATTTGATAGGAATTTATTTGTGATCTCAACTGCACAATATATTCTTCTTTCTGCAAGCGCTTGTTTGCATATTGGAATGATGCTTTCTTTCCCTTCATAATTTATATAAAGATGTGTCAACATGTTTGACAGTGTAAAATTACAATAGTTCATGTATATAAATTTAAAGTAATAAAGTAGTGCGCGTTGGTTTCTTGTAAACCTGTAGCTCGATTTCCATGATTTGCTTGCTTGTCAAAAGTAGAAGCTTCTCAACGCTTTGTCCAAAAACTGAGGCATCAATGGTTCCAGTAGAATCGGTGATAGAAACATTCACTTTGGATCTAATAATATTATAATAATATTCAAGAAGTAATTATCATCATAGTTTTTTTAAAACATAGAAAAGCTTGGCCATATAATTTAGGGGTAACTTGGATATCTGACCTTGGAGTACCGAGTGCATCCTCTTTACCACAGTGCATGCAAGGAAACCGTGTATCATAATCTGTATAAACTGTTTTCAAACAATTGCTACAAGCCATATACCATAGACTGTCACCTTCAAGCAGCAAATTAATTTTGCCGTGAATCCAAACGGGTTTCGTCTGCAACATATCGAACGGCCATTGTTATGATGGAACTATGTACTGCCATTATTAGTTATTTGCTTTAAGTTTTGTAAAGTGTACCGGATCAATGGATGGAGGCACGTCAGATATTTTGGAAATTTCTGTCACGTCTGGATCTGCTAGGTTAATTGCCGCGTTATTGTATTCACGGCATATTTTTAGTGCATCAAGAGTAGGACGGTTGTCAATAGCCCTGCATAAAGCAAGGTGGAACAAATGTTAATTTGAGAACATATAGAATGAATTGGTACAAGAGTATGTATATTTATATAAGGTGTAGTGACGTACCACTTTTGCAATTCTTTAGCTCTTGAAGATGTTGGATTGATGGTGAGGGTAGAATGGGGTTTTGTGGACAAAGAAATACCTTCAAAACCCCATTTATAGTGTGTATATACATTACAATGTGATAATAAGAATTTAGAACAAGAATAAATTTATACAATTTAGTATGTAGATATAGTATACAAGGACAACGTTATATGGAGGGAAAAGATACAAATGTAAAACAGATTGAAACACCCAAGAAGAAAAAGAAATAGAAAAACATCAGTAGTTTTATGTGGACCTGTTTGGATGGTTAATTAAAAATGAATGTTTCTATTAAAAGTTTTACACAACATTCTTGTCTTTTGATTCTTTGACATCCAATAGGGCTGGACTAATAAACCCTACTATTAAACAGATTCTTTTACATCAAATAGTAAATATGCAAGCGTTACTCATCACATGTTGACAAAGGGGACATATATAGGTAGACATATATGTTTCCTTATTCAAAATAGAAAATATGGAAACTCTTAAACACTGGCGGAGGCAGGGGAGGGCCTAGTTGGGCCCTGGCCCAGTGTAGTTCAGGCTTACCTCTTTAGCAAATCTGTATATAAAAAAATGTGTATTGACCCAGGAACTACAATTTTGGCCGAGCCCTATCCAATTGTTGCCCAGTCTAAATGCACCCATCTGTCCTAAGCAGCTAAGCTGCCGAGTATCATTTTTATTATTACCAGGGAGTAATTTTGGTTACTATCATACTTGGTATCATATAAGAAGTCTTTTTAGCATAATTGACTATGCAAATTAGTGAGAATATCAAATATTAGCATACAATTTGAGTTCGAATCCAGCCCAGCCCCAATTTTTGCCCTGGCACCGACTCTGCTTTTAAATATGCACCCCACTATCACTTTAGATAGGTTGCACTACATATGGTTACTTTAAATCCAAATATACTATTAATACAAATCTTATATAAATGACTTGAAACTTCATAATAATTATTTAATATTAATCATTTTCTTGTGTCAAGAGAATCTCCATATTTTGCCAACGGAGGTCTTATAAGATTACAGGCCAATGATTAATTATAAAACACTTCTCTGTGTTATAATGAAAATATCACATTTTATTGTACTGAAAAAAAATCACACGGCGAGAACTTAAAACAAGGATTATCCCTTCCTTGAAAAAAATACACCTTCTGTATGCATAAAAGTATTACGTATGTATATTCATAAAAGTATCCCTCTTGTCTATTGATAAAATTTGTGTTTGGAAAAACATTTTTTATGAAACTAATTGTTAGTGATTAAGACAGCTACTTACCTTTGAAGGGTGTTACGCTTATATTTTCAATGGATATGAGGGGGTATTCTTTCTCACACAGCAAGTTGGCAATTTCGCTTCCCTCGTTATCCGCAAATTCTTCCCAAAGAGTTAGGGCAATTGGTTTCAGCCTGGAATCATATCATTTTTTTTATTTATACAATTGAATGAATGGTTATGTGATAAATAAATGTAAGTGTTATATATCAGACATACTTCTCATCAACCAACACAATCTCCTTGATGTTTCTATCACCCTTACTGGTGGGAATGACTTTGTCTGGGAGTTTGTCTATTACAACACCGATAAGTGCTGTAGGGAAAATAAAATTTAAAAAAGGGGTACACATATGGTTGGTTATAAACAAATGTAATGTATAGATTTTTAGGGAGTAAACTTACATATTTCAATTCCAGATTTCATGCAGCGGTAAACCTCAAAGAAACTGTTGTACACTTTGGTCTCCGCATTGATGAAAGCAGATGAATCAGGCAAGGGTTGGATGATTGTACGACCACTTAATATCCACGTGTACTTGTACCTCTCATCTGGAACACTGTAATTAGGGTTTTGAGGTTTGACGTTTGCATTGGAGATGGTGTAGCAAGAGTCGTGATGGAGTGTGGAGTTGTATCTTGGGATGTCATTGTCAAAAACCACTGCTCGAACTCGTATTCCCTGTTTGATCATTTGTAATTTAACTTGCCTACTTATATTTTTCGATAGCTGGTAACAGTAATTTAAATAGTCAATAGTAATTTTTCTAATAAACTATTACATAAAAAACGCCAATAATAAAAACTGTTTTATATCCTACGTAATTTTAAAATAAAGAAAAAACATGGATTCGAGGGCCATTGCCATAGTAGTGAATTCTTAAAAAAAACACGGATTTGAGGGCTATTGCCATAGTAGTGAATTCTAGGCATTACACTGTTACAGTAACAAACATTCTGTTAAAGGAAAAAAAATCGTTTGCATAGTAATTTTTGTAATACGCTAATAGCACGCAAAAGTGATTTTTGTAATAGATTTCTACAAAAAAATTGTTTAAAACTTTAAAACCCATATATTTTTTAAATATATAAAACTGCTACTACTGGATAAGTACGTGGAACGTTTCTCCCTTGTTGCAGTTTGGTATAAACCGTAAAACAGTTTAATGTAGATTATTTATTTAAAAATTTAAGAAAATAACATAAAAAAGAAGAGCTGAAGAATAAA